GTTAGTCTACAAACATCGCCTAAAGAAATTGATTTTACCCGGCAGAACGAAAGAAGGACACTCTGCTTTTCAGTCGTCTTAGGCCCTTGTGTTTTGACAATGACCTTTCAGAGGTCAAATTGCTGTCAAGAATATGAATTGGCTGCTTCGCAGCAATAAGGAGCAAAAGATTGAAGGAATGTCAGTTGAAATGCTATTGAATTAGTGGTTTCTGAAGTAGTACTGATTTGAAGTTTTATTATTTATATTGTGGGATTTGAATCTGTTATTGACAATTTTATAAGTACATGGTGTTTTAAAATGTTTTATACTACCCTTTTTTTTTTATAAGAACTAGTAAATTTTGCGCAGTCTCAGTGTTCTTATGTTTTTCACCGATTTGTTGGGTTTTTTTTTCTATTTAAATATTATATTTTTTCTATTTTATATATTATATTTTATTATACTATATATTTTGATTTGTCAAATTTTTTGAATTAAGATTTATTTATTGGACCCATTCTTACGTTCAGGACCCCACAATTAAAGCTTGCTTACAGTGGGGTACCTTTTTCACAATTATCTATTTTCATGTAAAATTTATTGTGTTTATATGTGTATATATAATCTGTTTTGTGAAATAAATATACTTGAATACTTGAAAAAAAAAATAAAAACCTCGTTTGATATTTTGACCTCGGCCTCAATTTGTTCTTATTTTGTTCTTAATTTTTAAGCGATTTCAGCCTCAGTGTTTTTATAAAATGTGTTATAAAAAAAGTGTATTATAATATGTAAAACCAGGGTCCCAAGTCTCCCAGAACTCCCGGGAGTCTCCCGGAAATTATCATTGTCTACCACACTCCCGCAAACAAGCAAAAATCTCCCGGAAATTCACTTACAGTATCTTCCGCAAATTCTGTAAAAAACAAATTGTAAAAAATGAAGTGGCCCTTCGTTTTGTACCTACACTTTTTTTTCCTCAATATATAGCGCCCCCAATGTCATTAAACGAATCTCCCGGAAATGGGATTTCCAACTTGGGACCCCTGAAATACGTGGCTGTGACTTACCAGACTTACTTTCTCATGGATATTAACTTGAAGCCATGCTTAATGATTTAATAACCCTCAGTATATCTCTATTGTGAATATAATTAAATGTAACCATCAAGATTACTTACATTAAAGAGAATGCAACCTTTTCAACTTTATTGAAAACAAAATGTAATAAAGAAAAAGAAAATCTCTATATAGGTATGTTATATAGTATATTTTTATTGTTTTTCTAAAGTGTATTATTAATTATTCATTTTAATTTGAAGCTAAATTTGTTTTAAATTTCAATTTTATCCGCTACTAAGTCATTAAGGCGTAATATTCGCATATTCAATCAAATATAACAGTACCGTATTTTGCATAATTAAGGGAGTAATTTGGCAGTATATTAAAGCTGAGTGACTCTTGTTGTATTTTGGAAAGCCCTTCATTAACATAATTTCACCCAGCTGTGGCTTGTTTATTATTTCCTTTTGCATATTATCTACATTCCAGGTTATTATCGATACTGTCCATCAGTTTTTGTATCTTCATTAAAATCTATTTGTTATACTTAGCATATCTAAGTTCATCAATTAATACAGTTCTATTTCCTGAATATTTTTACAGATAAACTGATTGCAAATGATTGTTAGCTAAGACACTTCTCCACTAGTTGCAGATGTAAATTTACTATAACCACCCATCATCCTCATTTCCATTGCGTGCAGCATGGACCATATTTTTGCTCAATGATTGGTTGCTATATATCTCAAATGATCCATATGGATTACTTCTTAATCCTTGAGTTTATTGTTAATATCTAGAGCTACTCATTATGCTATTGGTCACAATATGCTGCTACTACTTATTATAGCTTGAAGAGAGTGGATATCTAATTACTGTACATGTGTTGTAATCCAAGTGCAGTTTATATGCAGGGGTCTGAGGTGTGTATCAAACCTTTCAAATTAGAAAAGGTCTGCATTTTTAGGGTATATTAGGAGAAAACCATAAATAATGGAAAAGGTCTGCATTTTTAGGGTATATTAGGAGAAAACCATAAACAATGGAAAAGGTCTGCATTTTTAGGTTATATTACGAGAAAACCATAATCAATGGAAAAGGTCTGCATTTTTAGGGTATATTACGAGAAAACCATAAACAATGGAAAAGGTCTGCATTTTTAGGGTATATTACGAGAAAACCATAAACAATGGAAAAGGTCTGCATTTTTAGGGTATATTACGAGAAAACCATAAACAATGGAAAAGGTCTGCATTTTTAGGTTATATTAGGAGAAAACCATAAACAATGGAAAGAAACAAATTTACTGAAAAATAAGCAAACTAAATAAAAAGAATATTTTTAGTTACTGTAATGCTACCTTTAATAGTGTTAACTATGTGTAAAATTAAACAAGTAATTAATAGACCACCTCAGAAAATGCGAGAGAGTATGCTACAGTCTCAGGGCATTGAACTAACACTAAGGTGCCATTTTCGGTCATCTATAGATTGATATTCTTTAAAAAAAATCTCATTTGGGAGGGGAAACCCCCTCTCACCCCCTTCTCCCAGCTCGAGCCTACGAGCTCAATTCCCCCTGTCGGACAACTTAGCTCCCCCAGAAAATATATCCTAGAGCCGCCACTGCTTGCAATCTCCAAAAATAAGATATATTTCTTCCTAATTATATAAATCTAAAGCCTTTTAGCATCCTATTACCACACTGTTTACATTCAACAATAAAATTTTATTTTTAATTTTTCCTCAATTTGGATTTGTTTGGAAAAACCATTTTCTAAATACAGTATGAAAACAATTTTTTTTTTTCAGGCCTCCTCTGACAATCTGTAAAAAATAAATTTGTGAAACATGGTATAAAAAAGTCTCTGCTAACAGGAAATCTAGAGTGGATGACATAGATCTTCTAATTTGGATTAAAAAATAGCATTTTTCATAAGTGATCAAATATCATAATAAATCCATATTAGTCCAACCAATCATGTTGTTACAACAATCATCTCCATGCCCTGGGCTAGTGATTTATGATTCTAACATGTACTATAGTATGTCTAACAATGTTAATATGTTTATAGTGATATTTTATTTTGTTTTTATGTAGATCCTGTAAAAACAAAAGTTACAGGACAGTGAAAAACATTAGTTTCCATAAATTGCTGTTTTTGAAAATGAAATTAATTCCTTCATTTTTTAATGTATCATAAAATCCATTTCAGAATACATTTTGCAACTGAATTTTTTAAAATATAAATGCCATTAATTCAAAAGTTTAGAAATTATGATTGCTTACAATACAAGATTTATTTTTAAAAGGTTTTAGGGATTCTACTGGAATCTTAAGTACACTACTTCAAAAATTAAAAGGACTCAACAATAATAACGCATTCCTACGGAATGAGTAAGGTGAGATTATTTGAATCATCATAACTGAGTCAATCCAAATTAATAATCAATAAAACGAATGGTCGCTGCCTCTAGATAATGTAATTATATCCAATTTTCTATTTTATTTTGTTACTTGACAGATGTCATCTGAGTAGGGTCATTCACCTGTCTCATGAATAATTCATGAGCATCATTGTCATGGATATGTCTTAGCCAGTGGTAGAAGTCTTTGTTCTTAGAGCGTATGAGGTAATTAGCTGTTTTCCTATGGGATACATTGATTTATGCAAGCGTTCCATATCCTCGAGTGTAATACATATGTACTGTTTTCAACATGACTCAGATTTCATAACTTGTGGTCATGATCTTGTTGGAATTGGGGAGCTGATGGGGGCTGGTAAGAAAACAAAGGTGAAGAGGGCGCTCGATGATTAAGTGAAGGGTAATAACGTGCCAAATAAATATACTTAAAATATCATTTTAGATAGTTATGCACTAATTACTGATAAATAAATGTATGTTAATAATTTGTTATTTTACAGTATGAACCTTAATGACTATAATAATGTGCTGTTATTTAATTTTATATATTATTTTTTCATATTATATAATTTTATATTTTGTTCTCATATCTATTTTGTTTAAAAATTATATATTTTTAATTTTATTGTCATATATTTTTATTGTTTTTAAAATTATTTTATTATCCTTTTATATTGTTTTAGTTCATAGTTCATAGTTCACTTTATTTGTCCTTTCGGAAGTTCGGTTTAACATACAATTGCTCAAATGATAGTAAAAAAAACTGCATATTTAGTAGTAACTGTTGAAATGGCACATTTTTATATTCAACAATTGGTTGATTTTTAAAATATGTTATAGCAAATTATTAATAATAAATTGGAAATATTAACAAATTTATGAAAAACATTATGAATTTTGTATAGAATTGCCAGACATATGATACAGTTAAGTGCACCAGTTTTTTATCTTAATTATTCACAAACATGGCTGAACTTGATTCTTACATATGTTGTGAAAATTAATATATTCTGATCAAACATCATTATATTCATGGCAGGTGGAAGACACCATGCTAACAAAGAAAATTAATATGACAGTGGATAAAGCAGTGACATGAATTCAAGTTTAACCCTCACTGTTTTATATCCAAATTTTATAGCACTTAAACAAATTTACTGATTATTTACTGAAAATAAAGTAATAAAGTAAATCAAATATTAATACAGTCTCTATCTATAAGTTTTCTATCTTGAACACAAACATTCTAGATTGTATCTTTTATGAAAAAGTATAATTATTATTTTAATGATGTACAGTAGTTTTGTATGAAACAGATCATTCTCAAATTGCAATAATAACAATACCAAGAAAATTCTACAATAATTTATGATCAATAAAAACCACAGAGTCTATAACTGTTTAACGTCACAGACATATTAGCAAATAGAAAAAAAACCACCAAATAGAATAGCCCTAAGTCAATATTTGCTGATTATAATAACTGGTCAAAGGTTAAAGAACACTTTACCGGTTTCCAATTAGAGAGTGTATACTCACGCATAATGCACAGTCTTGGATGGTTCATTGCACAATGAACAAGGGAGTGTTCTCCTGTTCATAAGAAACAAGAAGGAAACGTATTGGAATATATCTAACATCACATTTTTTCTTGTTGATTTGGATATTGATAGTGAGTATGATTTAATTTTGTTTTAATCGTAGCTGATGATTTTTATTTTGACAACTTATTTAATTATTAATTAAGATGTCTGGTGGAGCAGAAATCAAAACAATAGGAATACATAATAGTGCTCATCATGTATCTAATGATATGGTCAGTATTAACCAATCATTCTCTTCATTGCCATAGAGAATTTTTTTAAATATTTAAATCCTTTTTTTCTATGGATTGCATATTTTTGAATATGAAGTACATTATTATGATTATTGATTGTATAGTAAAAGGGAAGAGAAAAAAACATATTTTGATATAGTTGCCATCAGTTGAAAATTAATGATGCTATTGCATCTCTATGTCAAATATTATATCTCGTGCTAAAGTTTTTTATATTATTTAAAAAATATAATTTTTTTTTTTTTTATAGTTATAGTCTAGGAAGAGTAATAGTTATCGCAATATTATTTTTTTTAATTCTCCCACTTCTCAATTTTTGTGTAAATTATGTAGAAGCATTTTGTGATTCTATATTATAATAAATATCATAATATTATTACATCCCTTGTTGATGGGGTTATGGTGGCTGAATACATTTGAATTGAATTGGTGTTAATCAGTTTTAGCACTAAGCAATACAAACAGATGTCCCTTGAGAATTAAAGAAGGTTGGGAAATGTTGGGTTAAGGGGTTTTGAAGGGGAAAAAAATGTAGAAAAATTAGTTTTTCATCTGAGCAAATTAATTGTCATCCCTTTTTTAGATTAAGGTATGGTGGTATTCACCGCTTGTATGCAATCAAATTTGGTATTGATGTTGCTACTGAGTTTAATACAAAAATGAAATTTACAGTTATTAGTGTAGTAATCGTAGGGAAAGTATTAACTATTATAACAATTATGGTGGACTTATAAGGGTACAGTACATATTGACATGGTGATTTCTATGTGCATTTTGGTCGTTCCTTCCTTTCTTTTTTCTTCCCTATTTTTCCCTTTCTAATCTTTCCCTTTCCAGTTATATCTTCTATCTCAATCTTACCTCTATTCTTTCTTTTCGAATGTCATCCTTCATGTTATCCTTCCTGATTTATTCCTTCATAATGTCTCTTTTCCCAATATTCGGGAAACACTCTGGAAGTGGCATCGAAACAGCCGTACAGTAGGCGTACATGTAGACATGGTGAATCCTTCACTGATGGGATCCAGGTGAGATTGATTTCAATGGGATTGCAATCAACACACAGGGATAGATGCCCATACCTTCTCGCATAAAAATCACGTAGTCCTCTTTTGCCTGTCCAAAACACCTAATAATGTTAACAATGAAAAATGATTTATAGCATAACAGTCAGCTGTAATTAACTTCATGTAACTTCAAAGTTGATCAGCATTTGACTATTTTATTTTGTTTTCTTTAAAGCTAATTTCAAATTACTGTGTGGACATGTATATTACCATTTTGGGATAGGAACCATCTATGAAAATATTGCATACTTAAGTCCATCCAAATCAAACACTCTGCTTTGACATATTGCACTGGGAGACTTAACTGCATGTACACCACGTGTGAAATTTAATTATATTGATTGACCAGGTTTAATAAACATAATAAGGATTGATTTATTGAAATTTAAATGTAATTACATATATTTATAGATTCAGTTACATACAGGAACATAGTACAGACACAATCAGTTGTGCTGAGAATGTCATATTACTGAATTTCGAATAAAAAATCATTGGAATCTTAACTACAGTAGTTATTTTATACAGTATCAGCGATGATGCAAATTGTATTTAATTATATAATGACGTGACTAATATATTTAACAATAATATATGATGATAAATATACTAATATCATCTGTATATCAAATATCTTCTTTGTATAGGAATGGAATAATGTTTATGGCAACATCCAATCAGAATTAGAAGTTATTTAAGAGTGAAATGTCAAGAGACACTGCCAATATTTATAGTATTGCTGGGCTTGGGTGTGGTTATAGTTCAGATGCTGCCAGCCTATTTTGCGAATACATTACCTGGATGAACTATTCTCTCATAAATGATAATGGCAATAATAATAACATTAATATTAATTATGTATCAGCCCTCTCGCCAAGATTTTTTTAAAGAGTGGCGGAATTGCAGAAAATGTTCACAAAATTTAAAGGGTGGTGCGCGAAATTTTAAAGGGCGGATACATTTTTGGTAAAGTACTACATATGGTGTCAGACACGACGAGGCATGACCCGTGTCCCACAATTAGATCTCATTAACTCGATACCTCTAATTCATTTATTAATACAAACAATATATGTACACTTAAATTATGAAGAAACATTTCATCAAAATTAGTACCTGCAAGATGGAATCTGTTATATATGTAAAGTGTGATGCAACATCCGTACACAAAGTGTTGATGGATCTAAAGACTTTAACATTTTCAGTTGCGGTATAATTTCTTCTATAAGGATTAATTACAGTTAGTTGTCAGTAAAATTTAATTTCTGGTAAGTAAATAGAAGCCACCAACATGATTTTAGGTTGCGCAATACCAGGAAGACTGGTTATCTGTTTCAAGACTACAACTGCCACATTGTGTACTTTTATACAAAGATTACTATTATGCAACGTTATAGTAACAGGTGTCAGAATATGACAGGAAAAAAAAGTCATTCCTTAAAATTGAAAAAAACCACTTTCAAATTTAACAAGTTATTTTCCACAAAATCAAATAGATACGGTAGCGGTACAAAATATCCTTTAAATTCACACTTCTTATAATTTTTTTAAATAACAAAATCAGAAAACTACTGTAAAATTATGGTTATAATTATTACATTCTCATCACATTATTTTTTTTTTAAACACCGTTTTCTCTTGTAAATATCTTCTTTTTCTTTTTTTTTAATCCATGGAAATATGTTATTTTAATAATGATGAGATATATGCCAAAAACCAGACAAATTTTTCAGGCGAATAAGTATATTTTCCCCCTTTTGACAGAATAGTTTAATATAATTATGATCAAATGAAAAATATTGAATAAACTATTAAAGCTAAGTACTGTGGTCAAGATGAAGTCAACAAGATAAAGCCTAGGAGACAAGGTTCCTGTAAAATGTATTTAAAAAAAAAAAAAAAAAAAATTTTTCCAGCACCGAGTGACTTGGCTCTGGATGGAAATGATAGCCTTTTGATTTAGTTACTGTGAGGCTTAGGGGTTAGGGTTGTTTCTGTCATGAGAAAAAAAAAATCTGGTGATCACAAGATTCAAACCTAGAACCTTGGGATTAGAAAGAAGGCAATGATCTTATTCATAAGTTACAGCTCTACAGTGAGGGTGGGTGATAGACACATTGGTAAACTCCAAATAATACGAGTGAATTTTAAGGATCGAAAAGTGGGTTAATAAGGAGGGGTGAGGGCCATGAAATAAGCTTTATACTGGGTATGACTCATAGAGATATAATAAGAATACTAGAGCGCTAACCGCAATGTATTCGATCTGTCTCTTATACACATCTAGATGTGTATAAGAGACAGCAATAATATTATTATTTAATAGTATGTACCGTCTGCTTGGCTCCAGAAATGAAAGCATCATCACAGTGATGAATTAAAAATTTATACACATATAAGTAGACAATATTAAACATTTACAGAAATGACTTACATAGGATTAAATATTTACAAAACATAACTATTACAACTGACATAATGGTAAATTGTTTGCCAATCAATTTGATGGAAATGTATTTAAATATTTCAGGTTATGGAAACACACTTCCATTGATAATAATGTGTATTTTTTATTCCCTGATATGGACAAATATTTTTCTAAAACTAATACAGTAGAACCCCTATGAAGGGGACAGTTTCAGGACCAAAAAACTGTCCCCTTCATACAGGTGTGTCCAGGGTTTACCCTTATTCTGGGGACACAACCAAAGACATGACTCTTTATAATTTTATTTTAATCGACCTAAGAATGAGTTACAGTTTAATAATAACTAATTCATAACAATAATTTGCAAATGTAAAAAATATTAATTCATTTAAGATATAAAATTAACAGATATGTAACTTAAACTACACAATTTGTGTATGTTCCCGACATTGTTTCTTTATTTGAGTGCAATGTAAATGTCCAAATATTCTTTTTTTTTAAATATTGAGCTTTTTATTGGATGCACAAGATAGAATACTATTAATAGATGTTACCAACTTAGAAATCAGGGTGCATGCATCCCAGATAGATTGGAATCCTATATCAAAATACACAGAACAGGAAATCTCTTTGGTTAATGGTCAAAATTGACAAGATTTTATTTATATGAAGTAACACATGCACTAAGTATCCAATGCCCATTTTAAGGATTGAAAAAATTCTGGTTTGATGTTAAGTTTATTGCTTAAAAGGTGTCAAAATATAAATTTGAATGATTTTTTTTCTTATTTTGTGACTATTGTAGTTGTTTTGATACAATAAAAAAAAGTGTCCCGTTGATATAGGTGAAATTGTATTGGTTTGTCCATTTTGCACACTCAAAAAGTGTCCCTGTCCCCTTAATAGGAGTTGGCTGTAGTATTAAAAGATATATTGCCCCTTGTTTCATGGAAAAGTTTTCCCTGAATAGGATGTCCCAAATGAGGAGTTCTGCTGTAATAAATTAATGCTGATGGTAAAAATTTATTATCGATGAAACTACAATCATAATGAGCAAACCAAATGAAACTCCTTGGAATATTACAAATTTTATTATTTTCATGAATGGTGAATACATTCATTTATATACCAGTACATACATATAATGGGTTCATGATAAAGTACAGTAGGACAAGCATGTATTAAGTAACACCTCGATTACAAGATATTTATTTTTCTTTTTTTGTGTTCCTTTGTAATATTACGTGGTATGCATAAATCACATAATAGAAAGAGTGAAAAGTTTGGGGGCTTTTTTTAAAAGGATAATTTTAAACTTATGACTAACAAATCTTTTGAAT